CGCCACCACGACAGCGCCAAGGGACGACACCGTGATTGTGCTTAGGATTTCCCAACGGCGGTGGATGTTGGTTGTGTGTTCGTGGGTTTCGCTTTTAGCTGATTCACACAACCGGACCGAATCCTGATTTTCGTCGGCGAACCGTGTACCACGTGACCGACACATCCCCGACTCCTGCGATGCGTGCCTCGTCCGCAGGCGCGTGGACTGCTAAGGTCGAGCGCTTTTCACTCGCGGATTTTCGGCGGAGGGTTGACTTGAGAAGCGTTTAATCTGGCAACGGTACAATGTTATTTTTCCGGGCTATTAAAGCGAAAATGGCGCATTGTGTGTTGTGCGTTCGCACGCGTGAAAGAACCTGCAGAAACTTTGCCCGGCTGACGCAACGCCGGTTTCGGTACTCCGCCGGATTCGTGTCAGGAAGTTTCCGCCAAAACTTGTCTGGCACGCCGCGATAGAGAGAGAGAGAGAACATGTATTTATTTAATGAAAGGTTCACTCGTCTATGGGTTGGTGTCCCTGAGGCGAGAGGGAAAAGGAATGTAGGGATTTATAGGAAAGGGTAAGTGACAATGAATAAATCTAGATGAAGTGATGGACCCCAATTGTAGCTCGTACAATCAGCCTTTCACCGAGCAAGACCTTTCTTGTGGCTGTGGTGTACTTCAGTGTTGTGCACGAGCACGCGGTGCGTGAAGGCATCTCCAAACGCCCCTCCTTGTGCTCAGAACTTTCTCGCTTCTACACCGAAGCTCTACCGAGGAAGGCCATGCCATTGTCCCTGTCATGCCTTGGGTTAGTAAAGTTAATGGTGCTTCACGTGAAGCCTATCCCTGTGTTTTGTCTCAATCTGTACGCAACCGCGGCCTACGATTCTTTATCGCGGTAGCAAACGTCTATTTCTCTCTTGGACAACGGTGCCATGGTGCGATGTTGGAGTTTCGCGGCACTGTGGGGTGGCGAAGAGGTTCGGTCCGTCCTCGATGGCCTCTTCTCGTCGTCTGCCTCGTGTGGACATGCTTGGGAGACGGACAAACCGCGGACATGTGGTCACGTGATCAATCCCTCCGCGGATCAGTCCGTCGAGTGGATCGGCCATATGTGACCGCGTTCGGTTTTTACTTCAACTTTTGCTTTTATTGTCTGGCACGCCGGGATGAAAAATGGCAGCGAACTTTACCTACAAAGATATATGATGCCTAAAATGCATTATAGGGAATCGACGAGGGAACTGGTGTGTTGAGTGACGTATATTGTCCAGCTTAATTTAGTGTGGAAACTGAATGGTTGTACAGGTCATGTGACGTCAAATCTAGTGACGTCGATTTCCTACGATAGATTTAGCGGAGAAACGAGTGATGTCTAGGTCACAAGACGTGAATTTTTCCTCTAAATTTAGCGGGTAACTAAGCTGATGCATACATCACGTGTCGTACGTACTTATATAATTGAACTGTCTGGTTTAAACCAACGCGTTCCCAATTATTCATTTCAAAACCCTGAATACTTGAATGTACCTACTTGCCGATTAAACCTAGAAAAAGGAATGTCATGGTACAAACTACATAAACTGTTTAATTGTTTTATCCACAGTGATGTTCACGTAGATACCATCAGCATAAAAGAATTGCGTGCGTTGATGTGCCATTTTGTTGTAGACGATTAATGTTTTTTTGTGTGCGTGTGTGTGTTTCAGTTCTCTCTCGCCTTGTCACTGCTGCAGAATGCAATTTGGGGGCCGAGAACTCGTCAAGCCGTTTCGTGTGGCTTTTTTGGGAGTTTCCCTTTAAGTTAGGACACAGTGACGCTACAAGGTAATGGAATAATCAAAAGGTGCCAAAAGCGCAAGTCGCTGGGACTTTTATGCTTATGATTGGTTTAGCGATGATAGAACACGTGCAGAAAAATCACGAACACCATGGCGGTGCGTTTTTGACTCTCTCTGATTGGTTCCATCAGCTCGTTAGCGTCGGCTTTGTCTGGCTTTAAAGGGGCCATGAAACGATTTTCCTACTTCTTCCTCCTTAGCTTTAATCCTCAACTCAAATGCGAATTGTGAAATCACGTGGTCGTGACATTCCTTCGGCACCGGTGCGATGACTGCTAGGTTCCACCGTGCTTTTTATGCACACCATAGAACTTGCCATTCCCTGGTGACAATAAGTTCCGTCAAGGCACTCATTGGCCACGAACGCGAATCCAAATATTCGTCGACGGATTAATTGTTGACGAGCGTATACGTCCGAGTGACGCAGTTATCGTGTCCAATGCGTGAGGTGGGCTCTGCTGACGTCAGTTTGGCACCGGTGACGCGCTTTTGGAACCGCGGATGTATCATAGTGAAAAGGAGGAGAGCTTTCGGAGCCAAGAAGGAACAAAATAGTCCGCTATATTTTCAAATGTTCGTACCGAAAAGCTGGCTTTTGACTTTGTAGCATCTTTCTTTTGGCCAACTAAACGATACGCGATTAGTAAAGTCCAAATTTAAAATCATTCATCCCAACCCAAAATTCGTTTCAAGGCCCCTTTAAGGTGAAACTAAGAATGGGATTTCTTGGTGGGAACATTCAATTATGTTTTCAAATAAGCTTTAGTACCTTCTTTTTTTTTTTGCCCTTCTTGCTTTGGTCATTGTGTCTGTTTGGCACTGTTTTGCTTACATATGAACCGACTGGCACAAATCAATACCTTGCTAAATCATGATTGTTAGCATTAAATTAGATTTATATGTTAACTCAGTTTATGTAGAAGGAGTATTTTCGTTATTGGTTTATTTTTAAGTATGGAAGATTGATTTTAAAATTCTAAAAACTAGTAGGAATTCAGAAAAGAAATTTTATTTGTAAATGTAGACATTTAGCAGAGAGAAGTTTCATAACTTTTCATGGTTGCCATAAACCACACCATAAAAATTGTTGGAGCAGAAACAGCTTGATTTTTAATCTCAGTGAGGACACCCCATTAGATGTAATGCATCAGCAAATCAGAAAGTGAGCCGAACAGTTTTCAGCCGTTTCTTCATATCATGGAAGCTCGTTGCCACATTATTTTCTGTCGATTTTTTTTTTCACACATTGGGACCGCGGCCTTTTTCTTCGCGGCATGATCCAGTCAATTGAAATACGAGCAATTTTTTTCGCCGTACCGAAATTGAAAAACTGTAAAGTAAAATTTTTAACGAGTTTGACGAGTTTGAATTTTGTTTTTTTTTTCACTGGAGGACAGTTTAAGAATCCCCCTCTGGAACCTGCGCTTTTTTTTTTAATTTTCATTGTAAAGTTTTTCAGTCGTCGGTTTGGTCTCGTATTGTAGGCGGTACTGTCATGGATAACACAAAACTGCTATACTACACTATGCAAGATAAACCTGACGTGTGGTTGGATTTGTTGGTCTGTCTGTGTCAGGGTTTGCATTTGCCGGTCTGTATGTGCGCATATGTGCACGCACTCATGGTTTTATTGTTTTACTTTCTTCCCACCGTGTGCCGTCTTGCTTGATGTAGGACACTAAATGGCTAAGGAACAAAGGGGCAGAGAGAAAGGCATCGCAATGATTCAGTTGGTCCGGAAGGGCACCACTTTTTACTCGGGTTCAGTCCGATTGTAATCACCTTTGATTATTATTTTTATTTTATTTTAAAATAAAGCACTAGAAAGAATAAAATAGAGACAAACCGTAAAAGTAAATTTATTCTGAAGAATTTTGGAACAATTATTTTTTAAGCAATCATAGGAAGACTAGTGTGATTTAAATAATTAATGGCATGATTTCAATAATGATTTGCATAATCTTGATTGTTATGATTTACCTTAATTGTACTGCAAGAGTGAATGACATTTGATATTTTTTAAATGCTATATACACCTCATTTGAAAACTGTATCCTAAATTAGTTCAAAAATATGTCACGACGTTAGATGTTCTTATGAATATTTTTGAAATAGAAAGTTCTAACGCAAAAAAAAAGTTTTAAAATTCGGATTTTTTTTTTAATTGAGAAACGCCTTGAGAAGAAGCTACTCTACGCCCGCAAATTATTTTTGTTCAAATAAGTCAGGAGGCGAGATGGGAGCCTTAACAAGTGCATTCATATATTTTAATATATCGTTACAATTACAAAGATTCTACGCGCACGTGACTATTTAGTTTCGTAAAAATGACAGAATATAACAAAATATGTCACGTTTCTTGCGTCCACTTAGGTGTTTATTTAATACAGCGCTGTGAATTTTGACTAAATTTGTTGGAACAAAATAGATGTGCCCACCTCGACTTAGTATTTTTTAATCTTTCGTAACACTTCTTTGAAATCACATGATCTTATCCTAATTAAAATATATTGGAGCTAGGAAAAAAACTCTTGGATGTCTCAATGTGGCATATAGCGTTCTGAGGAAAGGAGAACTCATGGAACCTACATCAAGAATGGTTCCTTTTTAGGGACCATTCTCGATGTGACAGCTGATTCGAATGCTTTCGCATCTGCTGTAAATACAGCAGAGTCGAAGACATTATCGATCTCTCATGTTTTAGTTCATTAATTTTATTAAACTCATTTTAGTGTAATTATCTTTTATTTCTCGCAATGTGAAGTGTTTATTGATGGGTGCTAGATTTTTTCTCTACTCTATACAGATTATTCGCACAATATTCCTATTCGCTTCTTTTTTTACGTCTGGAAAATCCCCACAATATTTCGTACGACTTCTTTTACTCTTTATAGTATTGAATTTATTGTTTCCGTGTGCGAACACTTGTCATGTAAATTTTCGTCGACGCATTGAGATGTCATCGCTTGCGCAAGAGACAGCAGAATGCAATATAAAGGCATTGTCACTATTTTATTATAAGAACCTCCCAACATTTAATTTTTTATATAAATACCGAGGTGCGCATTTCTTGCAAGCAAGCGCACTCGATTATAGGCTGCCTACAAGTTAGCAAGTATCCATCCTCAACGCATATTCACTTTCGAGCCTTGTTGCTTACCGAGGAAAAGAAATGATGGCGAGGGTGTTCTTCTATCTCATCGTTGGTTTATTTGGTAAGCAGGTATATACCCAAGTTAAATGTTTAAAGTGTTTGCTAATATTCGGTATTCTCTGCTCAACAGGTCATATAACGTGCACTTACAATCTTCCCAACGCTTGCCGCCCTAACGACGTTTACCCAACTGTAAGTGTATTTCGGGTGCTTAGGAATAATTTATACACGAATACCTTTGTCTTAAGGATGATATAAATAATTTACTCTAACTTACTTTGCGCCTGAATTAGACCTACGTGTTCCAATGTGGTCTTTACAATACACCATGCAAAGAAGTTATCACGAGCACAATGATATCGACTCTGTGCCAAAGGATTTTATGCAAATGATCATCATCGAACAGCAAATCTTTCTCCCAATTTAGTGCCCTAAAAGTAAACGTGTCACACAATGCTGTAGTAGTTACAATAAGGACATTCATCGAACGTCAAAAGAACGTGTTGAAAATTTAAAAAAAATGACCGCATCTCTACGTGGTCACTGGTGAATGATGTTGGTTGGGGCGAAGTTCTGCTGGTGCTGATGATACTGATTTTATTGTTCATAGGTAGTGCTGATGGTGCTGATTTTTTTATTGCTCATAGGTAGTGCTGAGTTCCTGGTTGGGTTTCGACTTCACTATTACTGCTTTTTGGTCGGTGAAATGCAGAGCCAGTGGTTCTTCTAGCGGATCAGCTTGGTTCCGCTAGAAGCCGTGGGAACGCATCTCCACCGCTCAAGTCAACGGTCCAAGTCAGAAAGAGAATGTGTGGTATGGAACGTGGTTATATACGCATTTGAATATTTGACCGCAACGCCCTCTCGTCTATAAACGTTGAGCCAATGCACGCAAAGTTTAACGCGATTATATACGCATTTAACCGCAGCGCCCTCTCCTGTATAGACTTTGAGCGGCTATATGCAACGTTTCATCCATGACATTCCCAGCTCTTGAGTTAGTATCACATCTCGGAGCCCCCAACTCGTCCCGCAGTCGTGGCCGAGTGGTCAAGGCGATAGACTAGAAATTCATTGGGGTCTCCCCGCACAGGTTCGAATCCTGTCGACTGCGGAAACATTTTTTTTTTCTTTTTATGTGAGCACGGTCGCCGGCCGGACGGACGGACGGACGGACGGGCAAGGCTAGACCTTAAGGAGCTTCGCCCCTAAAAGTATTTTATTTTGTCACTGCATAACGTTTTGTGCATGATGAGAAGAGAGATATACGTATGCCTGCTTTAATTAACTTTGACCTTACGAGCCTTGCCCATGCTGGAGAGAAAATGACTAATTATGTGATGGCTACCAGAGATGAATAGTGTCGTCAAGATACGCCATCTGCTGTATTTACAAAGATTTGTTTTTGTTTTCTGTTCTAGTCCGGCTTTTTTTGGCTGCCGATATTGAGACTTGTTACTCCGTTGCTAGCTACTGGGTGTATTCAGAGCTGCACAAGTTGTATTATCACAAGCAAAATGACAGTGACTGGGAAGATGTTTTCGAAAGGAGACTTTATAACGTGATGAAGCAGACAAGCTATTGTGATTGCGATCTCGTCTTTTTTATTCAGTCGGTTCTTGTTTTATCTCTACAAGTGATACCTGTATCTCGAGTGGGTTGGCTTTCAACTAGCAGCTTTGAAAACATATATATTTATGATTTTCTTCGGATTGCCAGCACATCCATTTTGAAACTAGCACCCGAAAGGTATGGTTGCGACACCCTTATAGTTTTAGTCTTGCGAAAAACTTATTTCTATCCTTGAGGGTGTAAACGTCTATTTTTTTACTTCGAACAAAACGGTATTAGAGACCACGTATTGTTCAGAAAAAAGTGTTACTTTACATGCATAAGGAATTGTATTATGTATTATGGTATTCGTTTACTTAGGCACTGGAACGTTTTGAGCGGAATTCAAAACTAACTATTACAACATTGGCCGTCTGTAAAATATAGCGATCTTAAACCGACATTCTACGCTTATTTTTGACACAAGAATGCATTTGGGATAACAAAACGTTTCTCCTGATTATCCTAACCAAAATATTACTTGTGGAGAAGCCTACCTGCGACACTAGACAAGCTAGGTTTTCACATTAACTTTCCTTGCATGTTGGTAACTGCCCCTACCGCCGCATAAATAGTCTTACGTGCTAACAGGGCGCAAGTAGATGACATGACATCTGCGAGGATGGCACATTAATAAAAAGTAGGGATCGATGGTGAATCGTGAGAAGAAAATAAGCGATCTTCATCACCTTCACTGGTTAAAAACGGTGGACAAAGGAAGCTCTAAAAAATATTGAAAGCAATCCGTAAGCTGGACACAAAGATATCAGTTCCAGTTTCAGGACCTGAAAAGTTATGAGCCTAACTTAAATGTTAAGAAGCCCCAAAAATGAGCTTCACACGATCTAGTACAAGCACACAAGCTAGAGAAATTCGAGGTGGCAAATTTCACCTGATAACGGGTTATTCAAGAATCGTTTCTCGAGCAAATTGCGACATTTTATTTAAGTATATTTTATAATAAAATATATATTCTGTGCAGCGGCTAAATCTTAATTGTCACAAAAAGGCTTCCCGAACATCAAGCTGACCGCCGAGAGAACTGTGGTCACAGTCTGGCAGTCATGGGCACGTTACCAGTAAAAAGTAACAGTGTTACAGTTACAGTTACCTAGGAGGAAAAAGTAACTCTGTTACAGTTACAGTTACCGGTTTCAAAAAGTAACGTGTTACAGTTACAGTTACTGCAAAAACAGTAACGCCGTTACTTTCGCGTTACTTGCAAACGTGTATAGTGAGAAGAAAGGTAAACTGAGAAATTAGAAAATTTTAAACCCGAAGGGTGTTTCTTTTTTGCGCCATTCGCCGTTTCAGCATTTTGATGCGCAAAATTTATTTGCAATAATTGTTATAACTTAGAATCAACGGTTTTTAAAAATTGCCATCGACACGCGCCAGTGAGCGTTTTCGTTCATTTTTCACTCCGAAACGAATGAGGACAGATAATGTCACATAATAACCTTATGGAATATACTCGGTCGGAAGCAGGCCTAAACATAGCAGGTCAAACAGCTTCGGGAGAATAAAGGGGGAAAGGAGACAATTAGCTTCTGGTGCACTACATGTACGACGACCACCGCGGCGTCTTTGTCCGAAACGCCAACTGTAGAAGTCATATTTACTCGAGCGGCTCAGAAGAGAATACAAGCGCCGGCTTTCTGCACAATATGGGGACGGCTTCCTTGAAAACTTATAGGGGTGAGGAAACGGCGATCGGCTGGGTGTAAAAACGACAGTCCGAACATGCCCCAGACACAGCCCAGATGGAGCGCTCGGAGACATCGCGCGACCATGACACCCACAGACGGTCCCCACAAGAGAAGAGTGAGCCAAAGTCGATGAAACAGACATTGTTTGCCGCCCCTACAACCGCGGGCGCCGCTTCCTTTATTTCCCGGTTTCGTGCTGACTCGTCTCTCGTCCATTCTCGGTCGTGGGCTAAACCAGGCAATTTTTTGTTTCTTTAATGCGTGGCCACGCTTCTTTTTTTTCTTTTTGTCAGCGAGGAGTTTTGAGAAAATGCTTCAAGATGGCAATTTCACAATGTCCTGGGCAGTAGGTTCTAATTTATATAGTAAAACAAAAGTAACTGTAACGGCCTAAACAGTTACAGTTACCCAATAAAAAAGTAACACTGTTACAGTTACAAGTTACCAGTTTTAAAAAGTAACGCGTTACAGGTAAAAGTTACCGAAAAAAGTAACTAGTTATCGGTAACGCGTTACTAGTAACTAGTTACTGCCCAAGACTGCAGTCTGGTGATGTACCATTCCAATGACTTGTTTTACTTTTCTCCTGCCTCGTGGAACTACTACGCAAACTTCTGTGGCAAAATATAAAGATGTAACCTCAAACTTAAATAAAGCCGAAATTTATACGTTAAACGGAACCGATACATCGGCACGACAATGCAGCCTCATACGTTTCACAGATTGTAGCACTGAAACTAAATGCATGGGAATCTGCAACTATGATACACCAACCGTACTTTTCAAACCTTGCCCTCAACCGACTGCCACATTTTTCCCCATTGAACAAATAGATAACTTTTTGAAAAGAAAAGCTTGTAAAGTCAAAGATGTGGTACACAAATTGCTTCCGCGTTTTTTTTCAAAAGTAGAAGTCGAGATTTATATTGAATTTTTTTGCACACTTCTATCACGCTGGTAAAAATGTATTAATTCTAAAAAAGGATACTTTAAATTAATATATTGCTACGATGCTATTCCGAAAGGGAGCCCCGAAACTAACGTCTGCGAAGATATGTTTATTTCCAAAAGTGCCCGCCGACCAAGCTTGCGCCGCTGTGCGACCCCATCTTTTGGGAGTCGCGCTCTTCGTCTTCTTCACAATAGCATTACTCCACCCACCCCCTCCCCCCACAGCTTTTGCTGTCTTTCCGACCGCATGTCTAAATATGATGAGGAGTTTGTGGATGAATGTACGGTTTTATGCCTTAGAGGTCAACGATGTGGGAGGTGGCTCTGCCTTGGTCAATGGTCAGCTGCTCTAACTGCGCGCGATACCTGAGGTCGGACAATTTCTGCACAATTCAGTAGGGACCGACGTAGCGGTGCAAAAAGTTGTTAGCCTTGCCCGAATGGCGGGAAGGGGTCCAGAGCCAAGCAAGCTTTCCCAGTCGATATACCGCAGGACGATGTACCTGATTATAATGCCGACATTGGCGTTGCTGGAACTTCCATGTTCGGAGACGGACAAGTTGACGTGCTTCTTCGGCTTGACACCGGGAATGCGCTACCGAGTCAGGAAGTTTTTGATTTTGTCGGTAGGGTAGAAGATTCTCCAGAAATGTTGTCGGATTCTGACTGTACAGAAGAAAGAACGGAATGTACCCGTGAGTCCTTTGAAGAGCTGTATCATAGGAACAGCTTGCGAACGGAAGGAGAGTATCCCATTGGCTTTGGTTACACTGGACGTAAGTATAGGGTGGCTCAAGTCACCAGGCTCGATCTAAAATGGACCTTAAAAATCGAAGCCTGCACGTAGCAATCTAAACTTCGCGTCAAACATGTATTTCACAAATCGCTTTTTTTTTTGTTCGTTTGTTTTTGTAAAACTAC